GAATGTGAAAGCTTGCAGGTTTTTGGGTTAGCGCAAAACAATCTAGAAGGTCCGATTCCTAAAGAACTTCAAAACCTCAAGAATCTAACAAGTTTAGTCCTTTGGCAAAATCGTTTATCTGGTGAAATCCCTCACGAAATAGGGAACTTCAGTCGTCTGGAATTGCTTGCACTTCATGCAAACTCTTTCACTGGAAGCATTCCAAAAGAAATCGGTAAGCTAACACAACTTATGAGGTTGTATCTATACACAAACCAATTAAATGGTTCGATTCCTGAAGAACTCGGGAATTGTGTAAAGTTAGTTGAAATCGATCTTTCTGAAAACCGTTTATCTGGGGGAATCCCAAAAGGGCTTGGAAACATCAAAAACCTCCGTTTACTTCATCTTTTTGAAAACCTTTTTGTGGGCGAAATCCCAAATGAGCTTTCACATTTGAAAGCGCTCAAAAAGCTTGACCTTTCGATAAACAATCTGACAGGGGAAATCCCGTTAGGGTTTCAAAACATTTTCTTGGAAAGTCTTCAGCTTTTTGATAACCATCTTGAGGGAAGCATTCCTCCATTGATAGGAGCTAATAGTAACCTCACAGTTCTTGACATATCTACAAACAACCTTGTGGGAATCATCCCTCCACATCTTTGTAAATCTCAGAAACTAATGTTTCTAAGTTTGGGATCAAATAAGTTGTCTGGAAACATTCCACATGGTTTAAAATCATGCAAATCTTTAATCCAGTTGATGTTAGGAGACAATTTGTTAACAGGTAGCCTCCCTCTTGAATTCTCAAATCTTTATAACCTTTCAGCCATTGAACTTCATCAAAACCACTTCACAGGCACTTTACCTCCAGAAATAGGCCAACTACAAAACCTGAAACGCCTTCACTTGTCTGATAATTTCTTTTTTGGCCACATTCCTTCTGAAATTGGGAATTTATCACAGCTTGTTACATTCAATGTCTCATCTAATCGTCTTTTTGGAGACATTCCTCATGAGCTCATGAACTGTGTAAATCTTCAAAGACTTGACCTTAGTAGAAACTGGTTCACAGGACATGTCCCTTTTGAAATTGGCAATTTGGTAAATCTTGAATTGTTAAAGCTTTCTGATAACAAAATGAATGGACCAATACCAAATTCATTAGGGAAGCTTTCACGTCTTACCGAATTACAAATGGGTGGAAATTATTTTTCCGGAAATGTCCCTGTTGAACTTGGTCAACTCATGGCTCTTCAGATTTCTTTGAATATCAGTCATAACTCACTTTCGGGAACAATACCTCAAAATCTTGGAAACTTATTGATGTTGGAATCATTGTACTTAAATGACAATTTACTTGTTGGAGAGATTCCTTCATCAATTGGTCAATTAGTAAGCTTGTTAGTCTGCAATCTTTCTAACAATGGCTTATATGGAACAGTTCCAAACACACCCGTTTTTAAAAAGATGGATTCTAGCAACTTTGTTGGAAACAAAGGGCTATGTATTTTGGATTCAAATCAGTGTCACCCACCTTCAAATTCAAGATCCAATCAAGATTCTGGATATGGGTTTTCAAAAGAGAAAGTAGTGAGTATTGTTTCTGGTGTTGTAGGGTTTTTCTCTTTGATCTTTGCAATGGGTGTTTGTTGGGCTATAAAGAACCGAAAACCAGTGTGTGTGTCACTTGAAGAAGAACATATGAAGCCTTATGTTTTGGACAATTACTACTTCCCAAAAGTAGGGTTTAGATATCAAGATCTTGTTGAAGCTACTCATAACTTTTCAGACGATGTTGTGATCGGAAAAGGAGCTTGTGGGGTGGTGTATAAGGCGGTGATGGGTGATGGTGAGGTGGTGGCGGTGAAAAAGTTGAAGTCTGGTGGAGGAGGAGCCACCATTGTTGATCAGAGCTTTTTAGCTGAGATATCAACTCTTGGAAAAATCCGGCATAAGAATATTGTGAAACTTTATGGTTTTTGTTATCATCAAGAATCCAATCTTTTGTTATATGAGTATATGGAAAATGGGAGTTTAGGGGAACTACTTCATGGAAACAAGAATGGTAGGTTTCTTGATTGGAATGATAGATACAAGATTGCTCATGGAGCAGCTGAAGGTTTATGCTATCTTCACTATGATTGTAGGCCCCACATCATTCATCGCGATATAAAGTCAAACAACATTTTATTAGACAAAATGCTTCAACCTCATGTGGGGGATTTTGGTTTGGCAAAATTGATGGATTTCACATGTTCCAAATCCATGTCAGCTGTTGCGGGTTCATACGGATACATTGCCCCAGGTAAAGTTATGAAAATTGTTTGTTAGAGTGTAAGGGTAAAATGGTCATTTACTCACGTTTAGTTTGTCCATCCAAAAAAAGAAACGGATTTTGCATATACAACACTTTATTGGACAAACATCATTACCTATTAGTCCAAACATGAAACACACAGATTTTGTGTATACAACACTTTATGTAAGGGTAAAATGGTCATTTACTCATGACCATGTTTTATTCGGTCCAAAAAAAGAAACACACAATTAGTCTTTGTGTATACAACACTTTATCCAGACAGACATCATTACACATTATTCAGTCCAAAAAAGAAACAAACAGACTTTGCTTATGCAACATTTTAAACAGACTTTGTGCAAGGGTAAAATGGTCATTGACTCACGTTCACACACTTTATTCGGTCTAAAAAGGAAATAGGCTTCGTGTATACAACACTTTTTCCTGACAAACATCATTACCAACTATTCACTTTTTTATACAACACTTTAACCAGACAAACATCATTACCTACTATTCACTATCTGTATACAACACTTTTTCCAGATAGACATCATTACACACTATTCACTTTCTGTATACAACACTTTATACTTTATCCAGACAGACATCGTTATCCAATCAATCAGTTAATGGAAGGGAAAAAAAAACAGATCTTAAATTTTGTTAGTACAAAAAACATGAAAATACGACAAACAATTCTAACAAATTCTTAAAATTTTTGATTTCAGAATACGCGTATACAATGAAAGTAACAGAAAAGTGCGATATCTATAGCTTTGGAGTGGTGTTGTTGGAGCTTGTGACAGGGAAGCCACCGGTTCAATCGGTTGACCAGGGAGGTGATCTTGTGACATGGGTCAGAAGGTCAATCCATGGAATGGTTCCAATTTCAGATTTATATGACAAAAGATTAGATTTGAGTTGTAAAAAAACAACAAATGAAATGTCACTTTTTTTAAGGATAGCCGTCTTTTGCACTAGTCCATCTCCTCTCAATAGGCCTACAATGAGGGAAGTTGTAGCAATGATGATTGATGCTAGAGTAAATACACCTTCATCTCCTTCATCAGAAACACCTCTAGATAATGACTCTAATTCTTGCAAAGGTAACACAATTTATAATTTATAATTCTTCTCTTCATAAACATATTTGTAACAAATAATCAATTTATTTGCAGATTATGTGGAGCAAGAAGAAATTAGCACTAGTCCATGGAAGTCGGGTTGACTTTGATCATGGAAGGTCAGACTACCTTTGTATCATTCTTATTGTACAAAAAGGAAAAAGAAAAAAAGAACATTGATTATACTTTCTAGCTAGAATCCGTATTATAATGATCAAGTTCCAAGTTCCAACACTTTGTTTTTGGAATTTGTTTATATACCGATTTTCGGTGAACTTGAAGTAAAAGTTGGAGAAATGGAGGTTAGACAGGTTGTATGCTTAATAGTTTGAAATAAACTTCAGTTTTCTCATTAATGTCTTTTTGTGGGAATCAATAATTATTAAATTTGAATATTGATTATAATTCAGAATTTGTTAGGTAGGTATAATTTGTTGTAATCAACAAGGAATTATGTGGAAAAAAGGGGATGGTTGGTACATAGTGAGTTGCAACTTGACGTTTATAACATTGTGTATTTGTGTTAGGTAAGAAATTGGAGAGTTTGGGTTATTTTAATAGTGTTTTTAATTGTACAAAAACTTTGTTCTCTACTCTCTAGTCTTGTTGTTTCCTTATATCCAGGATCGATGCTATCTACCACTGTTTTCAACTATTGTCCTTAAAATGTAGTAAAAAACTAGGAAGTGACTCAAATGTCAAATCCTTTTATCGGGTGTTTTGTTTCAGCCACATGGGTACTCCGATTAAGATACATAGAATGAATTCTAAATAGATATACCATTTTTTTTTGGTTTTAATAATGATACTTCTATGAGAAGATAAGGAGCTGGAATTTTTACATTATTTTAATGGTTATAGTAGTATTTCACTAAAAGTTTAGAAAAACAAGGAAATTTTTTTTACTATTTTTTGATATATTTCTGAATAAAAGTTTAGAAAAACGGTGAGTTATGTTTTTTTTTTTTAAATAAAAAAATATTAAATAGAACCTAATCATACAAATTTTATCTTTTTTTTTTCTTTTGAAAAAATAATATGATATATTGATATTTAAAGATAATAGTTTGTACTTGTACAACGAATTTAATGAGAAAGTGAGAAGATAACGTATTACATAGCGTGGTTCATCGTACTATAAGGGGCCTTATTTAACAAACCCATATAATTGTAGGGGCCAAATTGTAAACTTTAACTATTAAAGTATTTAGACATTTAAATCTTCTTTATTGTGTGTTCTCAACTCAAATGCAGATCTGACATGAATCGTATATTTTTGTAATAAATTTTTAGATAGAAAAAATTTATTTATCCAATTCACTTTTTATCTGCCTATTAAATGATATTCAAAATATTTAACTAATATTAAAATATAACAGTTGAAACCTAAGTAGATATAAAAACTTGTATAGAATTTGATTCCTATAAAACAAAGAAAACATCGAAATAAAAGGCTATATAGTTAATTTTACAACATTGTCCGTTTCATATAAAGAGAAAACCAAGATATTAAAGCCTCCGAGAAAAATAAAAAACTCTCAACAAAATTTATACATTCCCCCCTACCATTTTAATTTTAACTAGTTTAGACTTTAGATCGCATTTTTTCTATAACAATAATAGTTTTGGTTGGAATTTAAATTACGTTTAGACTCCTTGCTTTTCGTTAACAAGTCACTAAGGCCCTTCCAAATCGAACGCCGTTTCTTGGAGTTGGAGGGTGTGCTCACGTGATTAGCACCTATCTTGCTACTTCTCTTCACCACCACCCCACGGTGCTCCGGCGGGCTGTAAGTACGGATCAAGGGCCACTTGATCCCATCGAAAAATGGGTGGCGTTTAATGTCCGTGGCACCGCTAGCGCAACCTAGTCGCCTCCTTGGATCCTTCACCAACAACTTCTCTATCAAGTCCTTGGCCTCCGCCATTCCCGGTGGAGCTTGAGCTAGTGCAGTTTCCTTTTCTTCCCCAAACGTCACTCCCCTGCTCGATGCTATATTGCGCAGGGTGGACTCTTTGCTTCCTCCTCGGAACGGCGTCCTTCCGTACAATAACTCGTACACCAGCACACCAAATGCCCACCAATCAACGCCGTTGCCGTGGCCGCTGCCGTTGACCAATTCCGGCGCCAAGTACTCGTGAGTCCCAACGCATGATTTTGAGAAAGCCGTCGTCGGCTCTGCTACAAACTCTGTCACCATTTCTTCTTCATCACGTCTACGAATGTTGCCGCCGTAACATGAGCCGCCACGACTCCGGCTTGTCGTCGTCCCTTGGATCCTGTTATCCAGTTTTGGTATGACGTCGGAATTGAAACACAAATCAAAATCTGACAACATAATGTGACCATCTTCCCGGATCAAAATGTTCTCCGGCTTCAAATCCCGGTAGACTATCCCAAGAGAGTGGAGGTATTCAAGAGCCACTAAAACCTCCGCAGCGAAGAACCTAACAGAATCGATTGGTAGCCGGTAATTAGGTTGCTTCCGAAGCAAGGAATGAAGATCACCGTTGGGACAGAAATCGATGAGGAAGCACGTGTAGTGAGACACTTCCAGATGAGCGTACAGCGTCGGGAGAAAAGGGTGGTCAAGGGATGAAAGAATCCGAGCCTCGGTCTGGACATGAGAGAGCTTCTTGGAGGTGAGTAAGTTGTTATCAACAACTTTAATGGCGAAGTTAGCGTGTTCATAGTCTCGGAGGCGACAGAGGAAGACCCGGCCAAGATTCCCCGATCCCACAAGGCGTACAAGCTTAAGGTGACTGAGATGGAGAATCCCATCAGAGGAAAGGTTGGTGGCAGCTTTAATGGCGGACCAGTTAGCATCTGATTTCCGGTGAGGACGAGAATGGAGGTTAGGTACAGCAGTGGAAGAAGTGGAGGCGGAGGCGGAGGAGAGACGAGTGGATTCGTTAAAGCTTAGACATAAGCTGGAACGAGCAAGACTGGAGCGTGCACTGGAGGAGGCAAGGGTGGTTGTAGTGGTGGTGGTGTTGCAGCTGGTGAAGCTGAAGTCGAGATCGGAGTCTTGACGGGAGATGGTGTGATGATCGTCTTCCATTGCTGTTTGTTGTGATTGTGGTGTATAGGGATGGTGAGGATGGTCTTATAAGTTATAACAGAGGGGAAGTGGGACATGTGTAATTTAATCGCCTTAACGTGTCGGTTGACCAAGTGGAGAGAGAGAGAGAGAGATTTGATTCACCATATTTAAGAAAGTGGTTTACTAGTAAAAAAATGAAAGTTGGGGGGCATAATTTTAAAAGAAGAGTAACTACCATTCACATTGGAATCGACATTGAGGGACTTCAGTTGGATTTTAACTACAAGTCAAATGTTTAAACTATTAAAGAAATTTTAATATTTTAAGGTACTTTCCAATTTATGATTCATAATGCCGAAAATAAAATTGTGACGTACACATTTTCAATAACAATTTGAGTATTTAACTATTTATTTTCTACTAGGTTAAAATAAATCTGTAGAAACCATAAACAAAAATGAAAAACATTATTTATAATTTAAGCTGATAATAAAAAATCAAATATTTATAAACCAGTCCAACTACAATGATTTAAAACATGAAATTTAATATATTTATAATTGGAGCCTAATTTTAAATTATTTCTATGAATATGTCAAAACCATAAATTATATGGGAAAAACGTTTATAAAAATTAACTCATCCAAGTACAACCGGTAGAAAATAATATATATATATATATATATATATATATATATATATATATATATAAACTTAGATTATTGTATACTAATTAATTATTGTGTGAATGTAGGAATGAATGTAGACCAGTGGTTTTAGTTATTTTAAGTAATGATTTACATATCTTTAAATTAGGAGACACATGTTTAAATTCGGAAATACATGTTTAATTAATGAAAATTTTGAATTTTAAGGGATATTGATTCTTTTAATTTTGAATTCTGATTTTTTTTAATTAATTCATTTTTAATTCTAACATTATTTTTAATTTTACTTGATTTTATTCTTTTAGAATGCAATTCTGTTAGAACGATATTCAATGAAAATGCTAAAATATATTCTGATAGAGTAAACATTTTGATTGAAGTAACTTCTTGTAGAAAAACAACATTCTTGAACATTCAGTTTAAATATAACATGATCTTTATATATTCAAACATTGTACTGCAAATATAGATTTATACATATTCTTACAAAATAATAGCCTAAATAACATCCTTAAATATACAATTATTGAACAAATATATTTGATTACTATAATTAATTAATAGATAACATTAAAATTTACCTTATTTAATTAATTCTAAAACTATCTTGCCTAAATTAAAGGGATTAATTAAATATTTATTAATTACTAAAATTAATTAATAGATAACATTAAAAATTACCTTATTTAGGTTTTGAAATGATTGGCTCACATTCATTCCTACATCCACATAATAATTAGTTAGAATATTTGAACCTACATATATATATATATATATATATATATATATATATATATATATATATATATGTGTGTGTGTGTGTGTGTGTGTGTGTCATATGTAACAATTAAGTATCATCCGTTAAAAAAGCTTTTAATTATAGTGGTTAGTTAGTTGAAAGTTGAAGAGTTGTATAAGTTGTGGTTTAAGATATAAGCTAAAGAAACTTTTAAGTGGTGTTTAATTAGTTCATAATTAAAAGTCATTTGAAAATTCATTGAAGTTTTAAATGAATGTGGTTGAAAGAAAAATGCCTCTATTATAATCGATATAAATAGATATAGATACATATAGATATGCTTGTTGATAAACTTTAAGAACATTAAGAAATCTATTCATTTAGACTTTTATACTTTCATTCCAATTCATGACTATATAACCATGTAATCTTTGTCCAATACATGTTATTTCTTATAAGTAACATGTTTAACCAACTTGTATCACAATTATATAACATCAATTTAACCATATAGTTAAACCTTCCTAATTAGGGTTCATGAATGCTTCTATAATTCTCAAATTAAAACCATACAAATAGGGATAGCTGCTTCTTACATTGATTTATTGGATTGGATGATAAGAACCGTTTGTTTGCTTTTTATTCTTCTTGAAAATCTGTGTTATATAGTAGGTTCACCAAGAACACACACACAAGAGCTCTAGAGAGTTTTGGAGGGGGAAATTGAGTAAACTGAAAGGATATGGGCTTAAAACCCTAGGGACAACTAGTCAAAGAGATGCATACAATATATCCCCGTGTAGCTAATTAAAATACGCACCATATACATAAATTTCAAGCCTTGGGACCCACTCACATCGCCATACGTACCAGTGCAAGGTGAGGGCATCCTTACCTACTGGTTGAATCAACTACGTAACTCATTGTGTTAGATTTTTCATCTTTTTTAATCAATTTTGGACTCCATAATTTTCTTATATGAACTCCGATTGATCCAACTATTTTTACCTCGCGTTCTTTGTAGCAAGTGTAACGTCCCAAAAACTCATGGAATTTTTTTTAAATAACTAAACCATCCATTCCAAGTCATAGAAAGTTCATCATAGTATCAAAAGTAGTTTCTAAACAAACATCAAAGTATCATAAAACAAAAGAAAAAATGTCATTTTAGCGCAATAAACTATCGTGTTTTGTCTGATTTGGTCATTTTTTTTGCAAAATAGGTCAGTAAAGTTATATTTTACCTGTTTAATAGGGGGTCAGCCCCAATACTTACCGGTTTGTAGGTTACCATGCTTATTTGGCCTAGTGACATGGAGACAATAGGGCCACATCATTACCACTTAAGCGTTTGGATTTAAAAATTAAAAATTAAAAATGCTATATCCATTTACTCTTGTTGACATCTGATTCCTCCACTGTATGGAGACAACCCCTCTTCTTCCCTCTATGTAACAACTAATAAGATCTGATGATAACTCGTCACTTTTATCTCCGGTAACCTCCAACAACCACCATCACTTACCACCAACCCAAAGAAAATGATACCAAAATCAAAAATGAAACTTCAAATACGTCATCAAAATAAAAACTAATCAAAATCAAATCCACCTCATCCCTTTCATGTCCAACAACCACCGCCTGTAACCTCCTCCGACAACCACCATCAGTTACCACCAAACCAAGGCAAATGAAAATTAAAACTAGATATGATAACAATCAAAATCAAACCTAATGAAATCAAAATCAAATGTGATGAAATCAAAACCAAACCTATTGGAAATAGAAAAACAATACAGTATAGGAATCGACTATGTCCTACTGATGTATGAACCAAAACTAAATCAAACGATCGATGAAAATCAAAATCCAATACTGAAACTATAACATATTTTTGTAAATCAAACGATTTTTACTTATATGCCGATGGTGGTGGTGGATCTGACTCATGAGGTTCTTGAAATGACTTTCGAATAGAGTGTCAAAAAATCAAAGGGAGGATCTGATACACAAAATCAGAGGGATGATCTGATTCATAGGAATTCTAATATGATTGCCACGGTTGGGGTGGCTATGATTCACGTCAATCATCTAGGATAGAGGTCGTGATTGTTGATATGCCAATTGTGGATGATTGTCGGCTTTAATGGTGTGTATCACCAAAACCGGTCATCGGCGGTAATGTAATAGTAAGAGGGTGGGTGGGACAAGAACGAAGAAGCAGACGGTCACCAGAAATAGCCAAGGCGGCGACATCATGTCCATGGAAGGTGACATCTTCTCAACGGAAAAAGCTAAGGAAACGCCAACAATTTCTCTTCTTCAGGAAAGCGAATATCAGCGACGGTCCGTTGATGGTGGTTGGCGGTCCGACTATGATGGTCAGCACTCGTCGGGTGATGTTGGGTGGCAACTGTAGCTCTGCGATTTAAGGTTAACAGGTTCATATGGGTTGAGGATAATGGGAGTAATGGGGGAATTGATTTCGATGAGTTCTAACTTTTATCAGTATTTATTTTAATTTTTTAATTAAAAAAATAATAAAAAAATAAGTAGCATGTGGATTTTGCAAAATATATATTATAATTATTAAATGCCAAGTCACCAGGTGTATACCGACTGACCGCTTCAAATGTGATGTAATTGATATTGAAAATGTAATTTTAATGACTTATTGCGCAAAAAAAAAAAAAAACAACGATGACCAAATCAGACAAAATACGATAGTTTATTGTGTTATGGTGACATTTTCCCTAAAACAAAAGTGCGGAATCTCAAGTGGATGCGATGCAATCATGTCGGACCCTTCCATTTGCTACAAAAAGTACCAACGCTTGAACTTAAAACCGTAAGCACAAAGCTTAGTGAGTTTCCCAAAATACCACATACAACCATACATAAAGTAACGGGTCTATTTCAACCCCAAGTGAAAGCTATGGGCCGAATCACAGTCTTACAACCATTTCCTACCACGGGTCAGATCCTGGTCTTTCATATAATTGTCAAGGGCCAAATCCTGATATTCCATAAAACTTCTAGGGGTCAAATCCAAGTCTTTCATATAGTTTCCAGGGGCCAAAAATCATGGTCTTTCATACAATCCATGCAAGAGTCACAGAGACAACTAGCATCCCAAGTCCTATATTGTATATTGAGAAGACTCACCTCTCAGTTAAAGTAGACTACACCACGACTCGTAAGATTGCAAGGTCGATGCTACACACCACCTAGGGAAATACAAAAGGCCAAACCTTAGTATGTTATCTAAAACTAACAAATTGACCAAAAATCAACTTGATCAAAAAGTCAACGGTCAAAGTTAAAGGTCAGCCACCACGCCGTGGCCAACCACTAACCGCGCCATAGCAGCCACACGACAAACAGACATGGATTGTAACAGCCCAAAAATCAGGATAAAATTTTTCATTTTTAAATAAGAAATACAATCATTATATTGTTCCAAAACCCATTACATAATAACAATGTCAAATCATCAGAGTAATAATAATAGTAAGTGCGGAAATGGTGAGGGAAGAATGTTGTGTCATGACGTCGGGCCCTTCCCCTTAGTACCGGAAGTACCTGAAAACATAAATACAAACTGTAAGCAA